TCATTTTGGTAAAAAAGAAAATTATATAATAAAATTTTTCTTCCCCAATGTACCAAACAATTTCCATATTTTTATTAATATTTTCCAGAATGGGAATTATTTTATAGCTTCATCTTAATTTGCAGAACTATATATAGCAAGAATTATGCACTTCATTGTCGTAAGTTCTACTCATCTAATTAATAATAAGTGACTAAAAAGGGAAAAAGGTATCTCTACTCAATTGAAGGAAATAATAAAATGAAAACACATCCAATTGTATTGGTTGCTTCTGTGAGTGCATCACTGCATAATTTGCAAAAGATCAACCATTATATGACAATAAAAAAACTGTCCATGTTTATAAATGTTCACATAAAAGAATCAATTACAATGTGTTGTTATCCTTTTTTTTTCCCTTTTAAAAGGTGAATGAGACATTACAACTGATAATACATGTAAAGTCTATGCTTAACAACCACATACTTTAGGTGAAATTATTTCATCACCCTCCTCACCAAAACCAAGTATGTATAGCTTTGACTTTTCATCCCAATCATATGTACTGTTCCTTCTTTTTACTCCTCCCACTTCTTTTATCGTATACTATTGTATTAATTGTCACCAAATCATAATTCATTAAGGATTACATTTAGGTATTTATACTAATTTTATAATGTGAACTATATATATAATATAGATATACCACAATTCATAATAAATGTAGATTGATGAGTACTTAGTAGTAAAAAAAAAGTCATATGTAACTTACTTAGCAATACGAGCCAAATAAGTGGAGAAAGAACTTGAGTTTAATTCCCACTAAATACATTTTTGAGAAGAAATGCGAAGCTTTAACTATAATTATGTCCTAACTCAGGATTAGTTTTATAATCAGCTCAAAGAATTAAAAATTATAAAGATATTCAGAGACTATCTCGTCTCAAAGAAATAATTAAGGTTGATATAAAAAAAATATTATACTCAAAATTACTTGTTTAGCCAACGAGGCTTGATACAATAAGTTAAAATCTCCTATCCAAGATATGTGATTCCACTTTAAATTCTCTATAAAATTGATGGTCTTTTTTATCTTGCATTGGGCATGCCTCCCTAATTTTAAATTTTCTTGAAATAGAAAAAAAATTACTTATTTAACAAAAGGAAAAATGTAGGATGGATAGTGATGATAACGGCAAGAAGCCTAGCTTTATTTGTTCATTATATTCCATCATGATATATACAATATAGCATATAGGTAATGATAATTAAAAAGACACATGCTGCTGGTAGTTGTGACACTGGCTTGGGTTTTTATGACTAAATAAATCTTGCTGAAGTTATCAGTTACTAAAAGAAACATCTTAATCATATAAATATTGAAAATTCGTAATGGAAGTTGTTTTGTTGAATCAACAAGCATCGGTATGACTACTGTGATGGAATGGATGATATCATCAATCTTTCATTTGATGATGGTCTCTTTGATGTTTTATTTGCAGTATTTCCACAAATAGTTATTGATAAGAGTAAATTATCATGTAGGTCAAAATGTTTCATTATAATCTCATTAAAACTATAAAATTGCACAATTGTCCTTCTTCTTCTTTTTGGTAAACTTATAATTGTCCTTTTCATTGGCTAATGAACTCATCTTCCTTCATTTCTTTAACATAAAAAGCTATATATAAGTAAAGAGAGAAGAAAAAAAGTCAAAAACTATATATATATATATATATATATATATATATATATATATATATAAAGCACTTGTATTTTGAGAAGGAAGAATTTTCTATCATGAAACTGGCAAAGAAAGAAATAATAATTTTATTTTAATCTGGTTGAAATATAAAGAAAAATAAATCATACATTTTCAAAATTAATATTTTTTTCTGGATAAACCACAAGTATCTTCTATTGGAGACAATTCTATTCGAGTTAAGAATATCCATATTATGGTAATACTAGCTTTTTCAAAATAAATTTTATGCATTCACAAGAATTTGAATCCAAAATCTTCCTCAAGCAGAATAAATATGTACTACTTCAACTAACCTTTTTTTTTTAAAATTCAACACTTTATCAACCAGTCCAAAGCGCCATCTTCAAATTTGCCATTATCTAAAACATTGATTGCTATGTATAAATAAATAAAAAATTGATTGCGCTGATGAATGGAAGCAACTTAAAAAAAAAAAAAAAAAAAGACTTTTTTGAATGATATATTAATTGTTCAAGACTTACCATCATTTCCACCTTATATCATGTGGGAAAAATTCTCAATTAGAAAAACATCCATGAAATTAATGAAGAGTCAAACCTTTGAATCATCGGGACAAAAAGGAACTAACCACAGAAAGTTAAGGGTAAATTCCGGTTCATCCCCTAACTTGCGAGGGTAAGAACTAGCAAGGAAAAACATAAAAAAGTGATTACGGCTATAAACAACATTTGTATATAATAGTACAAATTGCTGAAAATATCTTTCATTTTTAAACTTAAATTATTCGCGTGTCTTACATTGTAAAAGCATTTATGTAATCATCATAGTTGCATTACTTTAACATATTCTTATTATAATTGTGAATCTGACTTGAATATTTTGACTTGAATGGACTTGTAACATATTTATGTTTGAAAAATAATATAATTTAATGGGAGGATTATTATTGAGTGTTAATTATATTAGGCATTGTTTTTTATTTGGATTTATCATTTAAATAAAGTTATCTCCAGCAACTCCGAAACTTTGATAAAAAATATTTTGATAAAAAATATTTTGGTAAAATTAATATAACAAAGAAATAAATAAAATTCCTAAAATTATTATTGAATGTTAATTATATTAGGCATTGTTTTTATTTGGGTTTATCATTTAGATAAAGTTATCTCCTGCAACTTCAAAACTTTGATAAAAAGTATTTTGGTAAAATTAATATAACAAAGAAATAAATAAAATTTCTAAAATATCTTTCATTAATTCTCTCAATTCCCAAAACAACGTAATTTTGGGATTGTTAGAGATAGCTTTATATACAGTGACAAGAGAAACACTTTTTTTTCTTATTTTAAAATGATTATTGAATAATATTTTTTTGACAAATAGAATAATTATAATTAACAATTATAGTACTTTTTGTGTAAATTAATAAATGCAGTTATTATGTTGTTAAGTGTGCTTATATATTTTGATAGAAAATGTGATTATAGGAATAGTTTTTTTTGAATACAAGTGAAAATTGAATACATAATAACCTAATACAACATATCCAAACCCTCCGTTACTAGAGCACTCTTAGTGGCTTGTGATTATAGGAATATAGTATAATCAGATTAAAATAACCATTACTTATAATAAAAAATATATACTCTTCATATATATTATAAGTACTTTTCGGTGAAATATTATTATTATACCTTAAAGAATGAGCATATTGAGCTAATAGGGCATCATATATCCAATGAGTGTAAGTCAGTTCGCAACATAGGCTCAGTATAGTAGGGAGAGAACCTGATATTGATTCTCATCAAATTATCTTTGAAGAGGGATGGTGAACTTTAAATGTGACTAAATCCTGACTCGGAATAATCTCATAATCAACTCAAAAAATTAAAACTTACGAAAATATTCGGGGCTATTTGCCTCAAAAATATTGTTAGGGTGGGTATACCAAAAAATTAGGGCATCGTCCGATAACTTGACCCCAAAAAAAAGTGATTTAATTAATTGAAACAAATTTTGGTTTCCTTTTTGTAAAAGTTTAATTGAGTCAACTATATATAGTGTATAGTAGAGCAAAATTACAAAGATAAGCGAGGAATAAATCAAATAACAAGACGACAAAAGTAAGCAAGTAGCTTAATAATTGAAGTTAACCCTTTATTTTTTAAGAGCTTTCCTTTTTGTAAGGCAGAAAATGATTTGAGAAAAGCTAACAACCATGAAATCCTCTTCGGACGTTACTCTATGATCCTATTGAAATCCAGAATAAGGCCTCTTCCATTATAAAACAATCAAAATAGCCATTTCAATGTTATCAATCTCTTGTTCTTTCTTTGATTTTAGTTATTTCTTCATTTAAGATAAAAGAAAAAAGAAACTATAACTGATTTTATTAAAAAACATTATTTTCTTTTTCAACCAATATAGAATGGATGATTGACTAGTGTAAATTAGCAACTATATAAAAAAGCCACTCTCAATATCAAGTTAAATAATCACTAAATTCGAATGTATTTGTTTATATAATAATCATACTAAACTGTTAAAATGAAAAATATTTTTCTATAGAAATGCAATATTTGATGGATACACTTACAATTATGTGTAAGAACCAATTACAACTCATGCAATTTTCTATTCCTTTTTAAATTTCCATAAAATAAAAAGCAATTAACTTACAATTCAGTAAACAAGCATTTTTTTTACTGCAAAAAAGGCTTACGATGTAGTATGGAATGTAAGAAATGAAAAAAAAAAAGCTAAAAATAAATAAAGTAGTACAAAGAGAATTTAGATTGATATTATAAAAAGAAGAAAAAAAACTAGTATATGCTTGATTTAACAAAATTTTAATTATAAATTATTTTTAGTACTATTTAAACATTTTTTTTTTATTTTAGCTACTAAAAATTGTTTCTTTGTTTTTCCTGATTCCTATAATAAAAAAGAAAGAAGGAGAGAAATAAAATATAATAAGTTAAAAAACAATGTCCACTTTTTGGTTGAGAAATACAAATTTGGTTGACTCATCTCTCTCTCTCTCTCTCTCTTCGAGGGCGTTTGGTACAAGAGAAATTTTTATTTGTCCGGGAATCTCAATTTTCAAAAATATGATTTTTACATTCAGTTTACGATAATATTCGAAAATTTAAAATTTAGAAAAATTCAGTTTCCCGGGAATCCGGCCAAATACCGCGTACCAAACGCCCCCTTCCTTCTTTCCAAGTTCCTGTTGGGTAACTCCTCTCTATATGCACCTCTCTTAACTCTCTTTGTAGTGTAGTAAGTAGAAACTCCCTCACTTACTCACTCTCTGACTCTCCTCCATAACCTTCTTCTTCACCTAAACAATTCATCAAACACCTTGCACTCTTCTTCTTCTTCTTCCTTCCACTCACTTTGTGTGCTGTGTGCTTGCTTCTCAGTCTCTGTTACCGTCTTAGGGGGTGACCCTTTATGGCTAAATGCCCCAAAACGAAACCCACTGCCACCAAAATGGTGAAACCACACTCACCACAAGCTCAACCCCTCAACAACACCAACACTGCCCGGTTCTGACCCTCAACCTCAGGGAACCAAAAGACCCCATTTTGGTCACCAATTCAGATACCCTTTGCGGCGGCGCAATGGCCTCCACAAACTCCACCTCCACCGACCCACTCCCTTCTTCTTCCTCCGACGACATCGCCGTCAAAGCCGTGAACAAACGCTACGAGGGTCTCGTCACGGTTCGTAACAAAGCGATCAAGGGAAAAGGTGCTTGGTATTGGGCACACTTGGAACCCATTCTGCTTCGAAATCCTGATACGGGTTTGCCCAAATCGGTGAAGCTCAAGTGTTCACTCTGTGACTCTTTGTTTTCAGCTTCGAACCCTTCGAGAACCGCTTCGGAGCACTTAAAGAGAGGGACTTGTTCCAATTTCAGCACCGGTTTGAGACCCGGTTCGGTTCCTTCTCCTCTTCCAATTTCCTCAGTGGCGGCCGGTTCGAACCGGAAGAGGGGTTCACCTCAAATGGGTGTGGCTTCACCCACAGGTTATCAAAACCATGCCTTGGCAATGGTGGAGTCATCACGGTTTGGTCCTTGTGGTGGTGAAATTGGCTACACTCAGGTGCATGCTAACACGGTGAACCAGCATCAGAATCAGCATCATTTGGTGCTGTCTGGTGGGAAGGAAGATTTGTGTGCTTTGGCTATGTTTGAGGACAGTGTGAAGAAGCTGAAGAGTCCAAAGACTTCACCTGGTCCTGCTTTGAGCAAGGAACAGGTTAATTCTGCTTTGGATTTGCTTGCAGATTGGTTTTATGAGTCATGTGGGTCTGTGTCTTTGTCCACTCTTGAGCACAGAAAGTTTCAAGCTTTTCTTAGCCAGGTGGGTTTGCCAACAACAACAACTTTGAGGCGTGAAATCTCTGGTAACAGGCTTGATGTTAGGTTCAGTGAAGCCAAAGCTGAGTCTGAAGCTAAGATAAGGGATGCAATGTTTTTCCAGGTGGCTAGTGATGGTTGGAAGAACAGGAATTGGTATAGCTTGTGTTGTGGGGGTGAGAGTTTGGTTAAGTTTATGGTGAATCTTCCCAATGGGACTAGTGTGTTCCAGAAGGCAGTGTTTACTGCTGGGGGAGTGGTGTCATCCAAGTATGCAGAGGAGGTTTTGTGGGAAACGGTGAATAATGTTAGTGGGAGTGTGGTGCAGAGGTGTGTCGGTATTGTTGCGGATAAGTTTAAGGCCAAGGCATTGAGGAACTTGGAGATTCAGAACCATTGGATGGTAAATACTTCTTGTCAGCTTCAGGGGTTCATTAGTTTAATCAAGGATTTTAACAACGAGCTACAACTTTTCAGGGTTGTGATTGAGAATTGCCTAAAGGTTGCAAATTTTATTGATACAGAATCTCAGGTGAGGAATGCTTTTCTCAAGTACCGGATGCAGGAGATGGAGTATGCAGGATTGCTTCGAGTCCCTTCACCAAAATGTGATCCTTTGAAGAACTTTGCATCTGTGTTTCCAATGCTGGAGGACATTTTGAGCTGCGCTCGAGTAATCCAAATGGTTATGTTGGAGGACACGTTTAAGGTAATGTGCATGGAGGATCCACTGGCCAGAGAAGTGTGTGGCATGGTTCAGAATGATGGATTTTGGAATGAACTAGAAGCAGTTTATTCACTTGTGAAGCTTATAAGAGGAATGGTTCAAGACATTGAGGCTGAGAGGCCATTGATTGGTCGATGCTTGCCTCTTTGGGAGGAGCTGAGAACCAAAGTGAAGGAATGGTGTGCCAAATACAATGTTGTGGAAGGACCGGTGGAGAAAATACTTGAAAAACGGTTCAGAAAAAATTATCACCCTGCATGGTCAGCAGCATTTATACTTGATCCTCTTTACTTGATTAAAGACACAAGTGGAAAGTACCTTCCTCCATTCAAGTGTTTGACGCGTGAACAAGAGAAAGATGTAGATAAGTTACTCACAAGGCTAGCTTCCAGAGAAGAAGCTCATGTTGTGTTAATGGAGCTAATGAAATGGAGGTCAGAAGGGCTTGACCCACTTTATGCACAGGCTGTTCAGATGAAACAGAGGGACCCTGTGACTGGGAAGATGAAAGTTGCAAATCCATTGAGCAGTAGGCTTGTATGGGAAACATGCTTGAGTGAGTTTAAATCCCTGGGGAAGATTGCAGTGAGGCTCATTTTTCTGCATGCAACCGCATGCGGGTTTAAGAGTAATTGGTCTTTCATGAGGAAAATTTCTGCAAATAAACACTCAAGAATTGGCTTGGAAAGAGCTCAGAAAATGATATTTATTGCAGCTCATGCCAAGCTTGAAAGGAGAGATTTTTCTACTGAGGAAGAAAAGGATGCAGAACTGTTTGCCATGACTGGTAGTGAGGATGGCATGCTAGCTGAGGTCTATGCTGATGCATCCTTAGTGTAATGTGCTTCTTTTCAACTCCTATAGAATTGTGTAATTGTAGGATTTATCAGATTCTTTCCAGAACTCTTCAATTATTCTCTTACATCTAGTGGAAAAATTTTCGTGACTTTGGGATTGAAACAGAAGGGTATTAGAAGGGACATAAAAGCCATGTTGTTCGTGACTGTGTTATTATCAGCTTTGATTCTTATGAATCATCAATCTTTTTTTTCAGGAATTATTTTGTATTTTTGGGGTTTATGAAGGAGGAACCCTTGCTCATGTATTGGCATAATAACAATCCAAGAAGAGAGCAAGAAAAATGTCACAAATTTTGCTAGAGTGATTTTGTAATGAGAATGGCCGAGTCCTAATTCAAATGTCTATCAATAACTTAAAAAGCTGCGTTTATTAGTTCCTGTGGAATAATGAATATATAAAATTGGCCATAATGAGCAACGCCATGTTTACTAACTTCCTCGTGTGTGAATACTTCAGTTCCTAATTGCCATGGAGATACTCAGACATGATTTTAGTCCTCTTCTACTTGTTCTTCTATTTCACTCACTTTTTCTAGATCAAATGGTGGACTAGAAACATTGTAATGACCTTGGAAATATCTTTGTGGATTGATTTTAATTATATTAAAATTTATGTGGTTCTCTTTTTTAGCTATTGACACTGATATGATGTTGATATAAAGCACTCATGCAAAATATTTAAAAATTCAAAGTGAACTGAACTTTATGGTCTGTGCGAAAAATTATTAAAAAAGCAGAATAGATTATGGCTGGAGAATTTTTATTTGTTTTTGCAACGATAACTACGTTAAATAGATGTCATGTAGGGACATTAACACGATTTCTTCACTTGAATAGGGAAAAGGATGACAATATAGTCCATGGAATTGTGATTATATATTTCAATTGATAGTTCATGTCTCGATATGCCATAACACAAAACATTGTCTAGATTCTGATTGCTATGTTAAATTGTGTGACTGAATAGAATAAGATGAATTATCATACTGTTTGACCTCCTGATTTCCATCACTTCCAAAGACTTTAGTGTTCAAGTTTAGTTCAAAATCTGAGTTGACCACATAGAACAAAAGGTCTCCCTGCTTTGTGCAAACTGCTTGATGTAGAAGTTTCAATTTCTTGTTGGGTCTTTAGCCAAATAAAGAGTTCTCTTCATGTTTCCTGGTTTTTTGAACCACTTGAACATTGACCATGTACTTGTTGGACTGACCCCAACTTGTTTTACTTGCCAGAGATGGGCACGTTTTAGCAATTATTCTTATTTTGTTCTAATAACAAGGAATTAAAAGAATCCTCATTATCATCAGATGAAAATTTTCAAATTCAGTCAACCAGTTAGATTTGAAAGTCATATCGTTGCTGATACATTTCTCAAGTTTATAGGTATCAAATTCAACCATGCTATTGGAAACAAAGGATTCAGTAAAAAAGGCAGGGATGATGGTTGATTAATCACACCATTACTCTTATATTTTTACCTAGGGATTGTTTCCGAAACTTGAACCTATAACTTTTCGGTCACAAGGAACAACCTTTCAGCGACTCTAAAACTCACCCTCAAACAAAGGAGTCACTAATTGAGCGTAAATCCACTTTCAAGTAAATTTCAACTACCAAACTGTAGGACAGCATTTCTTGAACAATATTTGTTATTATCTTAGTATCTCTTTCGGAGAGGGCTATTGATGCATGTGATTGATTGCCTTTAGAGGAAAGTGGAAACATATTTCTGACCGTTTTTTGGCCACACCTTTTAAAATTGATTCATGTTTTGTTTCCAACAGTTCACAACATTCTCATAAGTGTCCTTCCCTTTCTAATTTTTATATTATAACTTGAAAGAAAAACATAGCTGTGGATATCTCTACATTTGATCCTAGTCATGTTTCACCATAACTAGATATCATGTGATTAGCTATCACAATAATGAGAACACTATGTAGCAAGAGATTTTGATTGGAATTCCCTGAAAACTATATCAATTGAGAAATCTGATGGAAACAATATCAAAGGATATGGTGCAGTTAAGTTTGTACAAGTATGACACAAAAATAGAAGGCTCCCAAAATTTGACTGTTGCTTTTTTGCTGCAGAGTTGGAATAGCTTGAAGCAGTAGGGTGGGTGGCAAACCAAACATGGTTTTGACATATGACAACCTCGGAAGAAGATTGAAGAAGCACTTGTAATAGATAATCTGGCATATCTCCATCATGGGGTGTTTGTTCCTACAAAATGGTTAGGCCCACAATGGAGAGTGGGTATCCTTGTCGTTGTTTTGGTTGTCATGGTCAAAGAAGAGTGAGTTATGAGTAGCCTTCCTTCACATCAATCCTCACACTGTTTCTCTCTCTCTTTCTCTATGTATGTGTTTATTATTGTTTTTGTGCTAATGTCAACAACCTTTGGTTACTTTGATTCTAAGCATTAATTTTTGTGATAATATAATTGTTAATGGGGCCTTATGCACAATATTTGTTTATCTCAAATGTTGATAATTGGAATTTTGCAGAATTAACCGTTTAGCTTGCCATGATTGCTAAAACGACTTGGGAAAAAAGTTGAAGCAAAAAAGAAAAAGAAAAAAAAGGAAAGTAAGGAGGCCTGTTCGATCTGAGGAGGCACAAGATATGGTTGAGAGGGTTATTGTAACTTGCAACATCATTCAGCTGTTTCTGCATCTATATTTCAGGGGACTATTGAAGCCATGAACAGCAGGCTGGTAGTTCAAGAGTTCTGGTGGTGATCAAATTTGATCTCATTTGTCACTCTTACTTATAGAATATTATATATATGGGAAAAGTGTTTGTCATTTTAAATGATAGAAAGTTATGTCATTTTAAGAGAGATACAGACACAGAAAATTTGAATTTTAAATTAAAAAAAACCACCCACTTTCTCTCTCCCATGATTTCCGTTTTTCTGTGTCTATCTCTCTCCTAAAATGACATAACTTATGTCATTTAAAATGACAAACACCAAACCCTTATATATATGTATATAGGTAAAATCATTTCTGCATCTGCTATATGTACAACAATTAATCTTGACCATTGATTTCTCATATTTAATGCTTTCACCCATCTTTGTATGGTTATGATTCTCCAAATTTAATTGTTGTACATATAGTAGTTGCAGAAATGATAACCGCATATATATATATATATATATATATATATATAGAGAGAGAGAGAGAGAGAGAGAGAGGTGATCCTTTGACACCAATGTCAAATTTGAAGTTTGACACCTCATCTGAGAGCCGTTAGATCAAAAAAGATCAACTGATTTGTAAGCATGTGACATCATTGATCTTTTTGATTTAACGGCTCTCAGATGTGGTGTCAAACTTCAAATTTGACACTGGTGTCAAAGAATCCTACCTCATATATATATATAGATATACATATTTAGGATGGTAACTCTATAAAACATGCCAAAGTATGTCCTGTCCTTTTATTGCACGAACTATGATACAGCAGCTTGAAACTAGCACTAAGCATTGACCACCCCATTACCTCCTACTTTTTCGTGATGCTCTCTCATTATGGAGAAATTCTTACCTACTATGGTAATGTTGTTCTCATTAGTTTTATATTTAACTAAACTGTTAAATGGCATCTGAGATTATTGGAGCATATTGGTAATTCTTCTCACTATGGTTTTAAGTATCTACACCAACCTCAAGGCCAGAAGTAAGTAAAGTGTCTGCACCTCCTTAATGACTGGGAAAATGTCAACCAAGTATGTTAATGAAAAAGTTGTGTGGGCTGACTGAACCTCATTAGTAGTGTAAGATGCTGTATTGCTGATTTCATAGCTGATTTATCTTTCTTCTCAATTTGGTGTAGTGACAGTGTGTCGGCAATGGCAAGCAATTCTGACTGCTGACCAACTAAAAGAAAAACACTCTTTTTCTTTTACTTTTTAATTTATTTTTTCTTTGGTTGTATGGTATAATTTTATTTTATTTTTTTATTCCAGTCTGGTTCTTGTATAGGAGAGGAGGATGTGATGATTGGTATAGGACAAGACCATCTTTTTACAAGAATCTTCACCCTTTCAATGTTCCCCCATGATTAATCTTTCTTTTTAATGTCTCTCCTTTTTCTTCCCACTAAAAACAACTGTGTTTGTTTTGGAATTGAAGATACATTTATACATAATATAATTTCAGTGTTATGGTCAAGTATTCTGACTCTTAATCCTTCATTGCCCTCATGAATTTATTTAAATTTTCATGGCTTACTATTCATTAATAACATGTATCTTGTGTTTGCATGAGTGATCAAACAAGCTTCCTTTGCTTCCAAAAACCAACCAAAATTAAAAAAAAGGATGGAGGAAGTAACCATAAAAAAATAAGTAAGGAGTAGACAACATTAACGTTTTTGCAAAAATATAAGGGTAAAATTGCATACAATTGACCTTTATTTCTATCATCACAAGTTAGAGAGTCTTGTGTATCAGGATTTATCCTTTTGTAGGCAACATTGTAGCAGTGTGATATACAAACAAAAGATTCAGACAAATAGTGTTCTAACTTATACTATTTTGGGTTAGTTGAATTAATTTTCTCATTTTCAATTAATACTTTTAAACTTGTGAAAGTGTAGACCTTAATCTGAAAAGGAATATTTTGGTGCTGATGTTAGACACAGTTGATATTCCCTCCCCCTTGTCTTTTTGATGCAAATGGGCTAACTAACCATGTAGACTTTAACCTTTGGTAGTATTTTGGTAGATTTGAAAATTTGAGTGTGATGATGACAATGATTACACCTTAATCAATTCTTCTCCTATCAAATTGTGGACTGTGGGACAATGATTATGTATTAATCAATTCATCTCCTATCAAAATTTTGACTGTGGGTCTTAAGATCTAAATGGTATTGCTTGCCATATTTTATATATATATATATATATATATATATATATATATATATAACAGCTAGCTTTACCTACCCCTCCACAAGGGGTCCTCTATTACGTGTCAGATGTAGTAGAAACATTTTATGTAAACCCATATTATTCCTTGTTTTTGAGGGTATGGTAATCATAACATTGTTATGCACATGTTGATAGAAATAAAGGACTTAAACATTTTTTTCATGTATTAGATACTTATATTTGATAAAATTTTCAAGTTTTATTTTTAAGTTTATAATCTACAAAATTTATCTTAAAGTTAATTTGAATTGTGTATCACATGAGTACATTCACACGACAATTTCTCTTCCAGGAACACACCTATGTTCTTCTAGGTGTTTCTGTTTAGGTTAGATTTTTCTTTTTATTTGGTTGTTTCTGTTTTTTTTTTTACTTATTTCAGCTTAAAGAGTATTTCAAGATGTGAAGATTCCATGTGGACAATCCTGACTCCACCACATTTGCTTTGGAAATTTCGTTTAAATAATTTGTTTCATATATTTCAATTAAGGGAAATCAAATTCTGCTGTTGTAGCAAAGACAAATTTTCTCCTGCTGTCACCATAAAAAGCAGTGCATCCCATTTTTGTTTTATTTTTATTTTTATATTAGGTGGGCTCCATCGATTCTTCTGTGTGCAGGAGAAAAATGGTCTCTTCCTGAGAGCCATAAACCCCTTCAATTAAATGGGAAAATGATAGAAGTGGCAATTTATTACAAATAGATATGGAATTACTATGATAGTGACCCGGTGTTAGAAGGTGAGATTTCAGAAAGATCTGGGTATGCTAAATGTTTTTGTTTTAAAAAAAATGTTTTGAATATAAATTTTACAAATTAATTTCGAAGTAGGAGGATAATTGTTATGGAATATTTTTATATCCTAACCACCTACCCAAGGATCCCTTAAAAGATAATTATCCAATTATCTTAACAATATAAAACAGTAAGGCTACTAAGGATAGAGTCCCTATCCCAACAGAAAGGAAGTTGAATCCTACTACAACTGAGAGATCTACACAAGCCCAAGAGGTAAGGAGGTTAAAAATTTCAGGTACACACTTTTTAACCTATTTACTATTGTTGCCAACTATGTAGCACGATACTGACACGGGACACGTGACACTCCGACACGTTAATCTTAAAAAATATTAGATTTTGACACATTAGGTCACGTTTTGATATTAAATAATATTTTTAATTTATGTAGTGTATATTATATTTAATATTCAATAATTTAACAAAAAAATGAAACTAAACTTATAATATTCATCAATTTTGCAAAGAAACATAAGATATCTCAAATATTTATATTAAACTCAATAAAATGGTAATCGAAATTTAACGAATCTAATAGTTGAAACTAAAAACTCAACGCAACGCAACATTTGAAACTTTTTTTTGAATTTCTATAACACGTGTTAGAGTGTCGGGGAGTGTCGGAGTGTCGGAGAGTGTTGGATACGACATGTCAGGGTTTTTGAAGTGTCGGTGCTTCATAGGTTGCCAACATTTTGCACACACTCACATCTTGGCTACAAGCCTGTTGCTTGTGCACAATGATTGAAGTGTTGACTATAAGTCAATTTAGATACCTATCTCTAGGGTATTTATGAACGCATACCATACGGTATAGCAATACGGTCTTCTAGGACCTAACAATAATAAAAATATCATTAGATTTAAAGACATGAAGAAATTATATTTATTAATAAAAATACTATTAATGGATTTTCATAATTACAAGATTGTGTGTACAAAGTAATTTAAAATTAAAGAGAAATTAAATTTATTTATGAGTGTCATTAACGAATTTTTTTAAAATAATAAACCTATTTTTTTTTTTTTGAAAAACATACTAAGTTATTCTCATTTTGAGTTTTAAAAACTAAAAGCCAATAATTATTTTAAAAACTATTTTTAGGTCATGAATTCTACTAGTAAAATATGGGGTATGTCTAGAATTGTGAGGTAAATATATTTTTGTCTTTCAAGATTATATATTTATTCCCACTAATTAGGAGAAGGTTAATATTATTTACCCCTAAAGTTATCCTCAGAAAATCAGCATCTAGAAATTCACAGGAAGAAATGCTTGAAATTTCTTTTCAATTTTTTCACTCTAAAAATACGCAGAGAAGGTAGAGAGAAAAATGTGTTAATTAATTTTAGTGAGTTTTTTTTTTTTTTTTTTTGGTAATCAATTTTAGTGAGTTTTAATATTTCCTTATAATAACAATTCCAAACAAACTATCATGGATTTTGGATTAAAGTTAAAAAAAAATCACCATTATAAAAAATGAAAAATTTATAGAAATTTTAATATATATAATATTTTCAAATTTTCTATTGAAACACTTCTAAATTAAGGACTTTAGAAGTCCTTTGTCTTTCCTATATAAATTTATAGAAACCAGTTTTTTTTTATGGGTTTAGTGTTTTTTTTTCCTAGTAGGTGATACATTTATCTTCTATAATTTGAAAATGATATCATTTTGGGTTTGAAAAAAAATAAAGGATATCTTGAAAAAAAATCATGCTATTATAGGTAAGCAAAAATTTCAAAAATGCCCTGTATTTTTTTTTAGAATCCCAAAAAAAATGTTATTTTGAGGTAATAAGAAATAACTTATCTCATATAATAGGACAAATATTTTTCCTTTATTTACGTAATTTTTCTTTACAATAATATGGATTTGAGTTGGAAATACAATAAACCGCTGACATGTTGAACAATTTGATAAAGTAATGGCAAAAAATAGTTAATATGGGGAAAGGGATTATAGGGCTTTAACTAAGACTCATTCTCACGTGACAAGTGCTGAGTGGAAACCAATATTGCCTTAATTTATTTACACAAGAATCCAACCTTCTCGCTCTTTGTAATTAATAAAGAGATTGTCTGGTGCTTGAGTTTGCCATACACTTCAATAATGCTTTTGGTGCTAACATGAATCCTTTAGCCTACTTTCATGTGCAAATGAAAGAGAGAGAAAAATGACAAGTTTGAGGCTCAGATTGAAAGTTAATTACAGATATTTTGATTCCATATGGTTTTGTTTTTGGTCCGATTATATGGTTTCAAAGAGTTCAAGTATCAATTTCAAACAATACGTTGGAACAAACATCATAATATCATATTCATTCAAAAGTTTAGTGGGGAGGTGTCTCGAGACACCGAAATTCAAATTTCAGTTGTTTATTGATTACTTGATTAATTTGATTCGAGTCGGGTGAAATTACATGGGCGGTAAATTTCTTCCTACTAAATTTTAATAGAGGTAAATTTCAAGGAATTCAAATTCGATACCATTGATTAAGCCGAAATAACTTATTACCAATTGACCCCATGTTTGTGTCTCAAAGAAGCATGTTTACCACTACTCTAATTTCAAAGGCACTATTAGTATTACTTGAAAATTTTCTAATTGTAATTAACTTAGATAACAATTCCTCTTATCCCAATTATCCTTTCTTGTGTGGCTTAAGCTAAGATCAAACTTAATAGACATGTTATATAATGAGAGATGAAGAACTAATACGTTGTTGAATTAGACATTAACTACAATTGTAATTTTATTGCGTTCACTTGTTATGAAGCTAACTTTAAGTACAAGCCATTATGTGCCATTTCTATCACATGGTGTGTTACTTTTGCAGCTCCCACTTAATGCCTGACCCTACTAACTTTGCCAATACAAATCCTCTCTGCATGAGATTTCTTTCTTTTTTCATTCTGTCTTCACTGTTTCCTCCACCAATCTATGGCATAATTGGCTCTTATTTAAGTGGCCCCAATATCAAGAGAATCAGAAAAACAATAGAAAAAATAATAATAATTGTATGGTACTATTAGTCTATTACCCACAGACCCCCTCAGAATTTACATTGATTAAAAGAGAGGATGGACCCTAGCATTATTAGAAGATAGACATTAGATAGGGACTAATACATAAATGTGACTTATAATTGGCATAAAGAGAAGAGGGGGAGAGGGGAGGTTTAACAAAGGAAGAGTAACAACATATATAATAGCACCAATCAGCAATATTTTTAGTACTCAATTGGATTACACTACTTTGGGAAAGTGACCAACCAATAATCATTCACACTTGAAAGCTAAACATACCCTCATTCTGAAAGCAATCCATGGAGTACTTATGAGATTTCATTTCAAGATAATGCTATGCTTGATTTTGTTTTTTCTTCTTCCTTTCAATAAATCAAGGAGGTTCAACCTAAAAAATAATACACCTTAGCATTTTTTTTTTAAAAAAAATAATTGGAGGGAAGATCTTTAATTTCGGTGTAAGATTAAAAAGTCTTACTCTTTATTTCAGCCGTTGATTTCTTTCCATCTAACAACAGTAGTTTATTGAGTTATATTTATTAATTAATTATTAATTTTAAATAAATTATAACCATCAAATGGACATAAATCAATTACTGAAATAAGGAGCAAGATTTCTTAGTGGAATTAAAAAATCCTTCTCTAACAATAATAATAAAAAATTTGTAAAATTAGAACGGAAATCTCATATTAATAATGAGTTTTTGTCGTTTTAGTTAGAACTTAATACTCATAGTGAACAAATTAGTGCAGCCATCAAATCTCCATTTTACCTTACCTAATAATGTTTATCGTGTATGATCATTACAAAGCTTTATTATACTTTTCTGTCTCCATTTCTTTCTTGTATTCCTCTAGTTCCATAATTATTACTGTTGTACCTGCAAACAATGCCTACAACTGGCCACCAAAACCTATTATTATACTAAGCTTCGTAGCAAAAACACATGTAAATGTAATCCCATTGGACCACTTCAAACCTAATAACATGCCAAGATTCTTATGTTTTTTTTTGGGGGGTTGTTTATAAATCATAGTAGTTTGTAGTCTTATGCAATATCATGCTTGTCATCTTTGTTGAAGTGTACATTACTCCAACTTATTTTATATTATTCATGAAACACATGTTCACACAGTTTCTCTTTATTTATTTTTTAAAAATGTATTCTAACTTCTTTTGCAATGTATTGTAAATCAACTCCAAGTTGCAAGGGATTTTAAACAAGTTGAGGACAGAAGTGATGAATTCGAATGAAAAGTGTTTTTGTATTTTATTAAAATACATATTCTTATTAGAAGCTGCGTGGTTGAATAGTGTTGTTGAGGCAATATTTTAATTAGTTGGAGATCCTATTCTTGTCCATTCTTATCCTCCTCCTTTACTTAACCAAAGATAGAATTTCATTGCAGCGAGTTTCAAATTAATAAGTGGTTAGAGGCTGAGGCACAAAGATTAAAGAAAACCTACCAACATCGTAGTACGTGAGAAGATTTTAGCCTTTCATATATAAATTGGGCCTGTTATTCTTATACCAACTTTTAGTCATTGATTTAGTTACATCTAACAATTTACATATTTAATAAATTAAAGTAGTTATATATAAATAGAATTAATAACTAAAATTGAAAATATAACTTGTATCGGTATAAAATGATCATGATTCATATTTGTTGTGTCTCAGAGCCCGACAATTCTTAACCCGACCTTATTCTGGTCGACCTGCAGAAGCGTTGGTGAACAGTAATAACAAATTAAATTAAAAAACAGAGATAAAGAAGAAGAGAATATCAAGAATTTTAATGTGGAAAATCTCTTCGACGTGAAGAGCAAAAACTACGGGACCAAGTCCAGAAAAACTTCCACTATGAATAATGGGATTACAAAAGATTCACTCTGGCTAAATAACCAGAGGACTTCACCATCTAAAGGATGGAACTACTCACAAGTGTCTCACACAAGTGTTTCTATTTGTAAATGGGATAGAGAATCCTACTCGATAGGGTATTCTTCTTCTTCAGTGATGACATTGTCTTTGACTTGCACTTTCTCTGCGCGTTTCTCTTTTTCGTGCTATGATGACTTCGTCTCTGATTTGCACTTTCTCTTTCTTCTTTTTTTATGATGACTTCGTCTCTGATTTGCGCTTTCTCTTTCTTCTTTTTTTCGCACTATAATGGCTGAATATGTAAACATCTCTTATAAATAAGAAATTAGGGAACCCATTAATTTGAGCTCGATCCATTATAGGCCACGGACCCAAACAAAATTAATGGTAATTGAAGAATTCATTAAAATAATTGATTAAAAAGGAATAACCGTTGATTTGTATTTAGAAAGTGAGATCCTCTCACATGACATTTGTTACAAAGATTCACTTCTCTAACCAAGAATATGCATCACTTAGCAACTTAGTATTGAAAAAATAGAATAAATGCTCATTCATCAAAATAATGGATATGAAAAAAACAATAATCATATATTTGTATTTACATGGTTGAAATACTTTGACATAATCTCATGTCACATGAAATGATTCGTTCCTCTTACCAACAATATGCGTCAATTAGCAACTTAGCGTTGAGAAAATGGAGGCCTTGGAAGGTAGAGATCTCTCATGTTAGAGAAGGGAACAAGGCTGCTGATTGGATGGCTTCTCATATAGCTGATAATAACGATTGGAATATTTCTTGGTTTAGCCTTCATACTATTGCTTGTAGTGATATGGTTTTAAGTGACTGTATGGGAACAACAGTTCTCAGGATGATACAGATCGAGTCTTCTGTTTTGTTTGTTTATTTTCCATCATCTTCCAAAAAAAAAATTAAAAAAAAATTGAGAAAATGGGATAAAAGGCTCAAATGGATCCATTTAATGGGTTGAATTTGCATTTAACTGAACTGTTAAATGTGTGTAATTGAGTTGATCTGCTTAATATGTGGGCCAACGTAAGACGATTGAAACAGCAATTTTTAAGAAAACTATATAATGAAATATATGTTGTTTTGTTTAAAGTTGTCGTCCCAATCAATTTTAGTATTTTTTTTTTTTTTTTTTTTGAATACATCAATTTTAGTATTCTAATAACATGTTTAGAATTTGGGAAATGTACTTGTTGCATAAAAGAGATTTTTTGTAGCAATTAATTATAACTATATACTAGGGATAATATATAGTTATAATTTTAAAAGTTATTTTTTTTTCTTTCCTCAGGCTGACGTGGTGGAAAGAAAAAAAACAATTTTAATATTACAACTATGCACTACCTCTAATATATAATTGTAAATGGTTGCATAAGAGGAAAAAAATTATAGCAACATGAGAAGTTGGGGGACCCTTACAATTTAGGGGAAAACAACTCTCTTACTGGAGAGTTATTTTGGCGACCTTTCGATTTTCATGCAGTAATTTTTTTATTTTTTTTTATAGATGTGGATCTCACATAAAATATTATAAGAAAATAGAAACCCTTGTATTTATGTTGGTAAGCTTCAAATAACTATTCAGAATTCCAAATCGTGATTCTAACAAAGCTTTAATGTTGGGTTGAGATTTTGTATCAAAATCGCTTTTAGATAAGAATTTTTAAACATGAGTTATTTCACTTCAAAGATACTGTTAAATAAAATTAATTTTATAAAATAAAAATTCTCTAAGCAAGTTTATAAACGCTCACCCCTGCACACACTAAAAGTTTATAACATCACATTTCACCTTTATCAAATCACCATTTATCCCTAATAATGTTAAATTGCATGCACAAAATCAAATATTTCTGCTCCAATATGAGTTCTCATAATTTTTTTTATTTAGGCCCATATATTGACCCGTAGAATTTGCGAGTGGGAAAAGGGCCTGAGCCCAGCCCGTGACGAAATGCTTGGGCTATATGTCAATTGGTCTAAGTTGAATTCAGTGCCAACACTAGCACCTTTTCAAAACATGATTCGGTTCTACTCAACGTTTGCAAAAACTTTTCAATCTGATCACTGTTTTAGAATAGGATCTTTGATTGAATCATGCAAATCCATGCAAGAAATTAAACAGACCCATGCTCAGTTAATCACCACTGCTCTAATCTCACACCCTGTTTTAGCCAACAAGCTCCTCAAGCTTGTTGCTTTTGCTTCTCTTTCTTATGCCCACAAACTGTTTGATCGAATACCTCAACCAGACTTATTCATTTACAACACTATGATCAAAGCACATTCTTTGTCACCTGATTCTTGTCGTGATTCCCTTGTGGTGTTCCGCTTGTTAACCCGGGATACAGGTATTTTTCCGAATCGATATAGCTTTGTGTTTTCTTTTAGTGCATGTGGAAATGGGTTGTGCGTGCAGGAGGGGGAACAGGTTCGGGTTCATTCCATGAAATTTGGGTTGGAGAACAACGTGTTTGTTGTTAATGCCTTGATTGGTATGTATGGAAAGTGGGGACTTGTGGAAGAGGGTCGGAAGGTCTTCGAATGGGCTGTGGATAAAGACTTGTATTCTTGGAACACAATGATTGCAGCCTGTGTTGGATCGGGTGACATGAGTCAAGCTAAGGAATTGTTTGATGGAATGCAAGAGCAAGATGTTGTATCATGGAGTACTATAATAGCTGGTTATGTTCAGGTATTGCTGGATTGGGAAGTAAACAAAATAATGATACTAACATCTTACATGATTGTCTTGTTCCTTTGAAGTGGATATTGCACAAGTATGCAATTGAAAGTATATCATATTTTGTTGTAGTTAACTTGATTGTTATTGTGCTATGTCTGAAGTTACTTCCTACTTACTATAGGTTGGCTGTTTCATGGAAGCTTTGGATTTCTTCCACAAGATGTTGCGAGTAGGTCCAAAACCAAATGAATATACCCTTGTAAGTGCTCTTGCAGCCTGTTCAAATCTAGTAGCATTAGATCAAGGAAAGTGGATCCATGTTTACATTGGCAGGAGCGAGATTAAGATGAATGAGCGGCTTCTTGCTAGCATCATTGACATGTATGCAAAGTGCGGAGAGATAGAATCTGCATCAAGAGTTTTCTGTGAACACAATGTGAAGCGAAGGGTTTGGCCTTGGAATGCCATGATCGGTGGGTTTGCGACGCATGGAAAACCCAATGAGGCTATAAATGTCTTTGAGCAAATGAAGGTTGAAAAAGTTTCTCCTAATAAAGTCACGTTCATTGCCTTACTAAATGCTTGTAGCCATGGGTATATGATCGAGGAGGGAAAATTGTATTTCAGATTGATGGTTAGTGATTATGGAATTAACCCAGAAATAGAGCATTATGGATGCATGGTAGATCTACTTAGTCGTGCTGGGCTCTTGAAGGAGGCTGAAGACATGATTTCAAGTATGCCCATGGCTCCAGATGTTGCAATTTGGGGAGCACTGCTGAATGCTTGTAGAATCTATAAAGATATGGAGCGGGGATATAGAATAGGCAGGATAATTAAAGAAATGGATCCTAACCATATAGGGTGTCATGTTCTATTGGGTAATATATATTCTACATCTGGGAGATGGAATGAAGCAAGAATGCTGAGAGAGAAGAATGAAATCAGTAGTGACAGAAAAAAAATTCCTGGTTGCAGCTCAATTGAATTGAAGGGTGTATTCCATCAATTCCTTGTTGGAGATCGATCCCATCCTCAAAGTAGGGAGCTTTATTCATTTTTGGATGAGATGACGACCAAGTTGAAGATTGCTGGGTATGTTCCTGAATTAGGGGAACTTCTGCTTGATATTGATGATGAGGAAGATAAAGAGACTGCTCTGTCCGTACACAGTGAGAAGTTGGCTATTGCTTTTGGATTGATGAACACAGCACCTGGAACTCCAATTCGCATTGTGAAGAATTTAAGAGTTTGTGGGGATTGTCATCAAGCAACAAAATTCATCTCCAAGGTTTATGATCGAGTAATTATAGTTAGAGACAGGACAAGGTATCACCATTTCAAAGATGGAATCTGTTCTTGCAAAGACTACTGGTAGATAAAGAAAGTGCTACACATGTCAAATAAGTTTCCTTGTGCATGTTTCCCTATTTGCCTGCTCATAATCCTTACTACCAGGATTTGACACGGTGCTGCATTTTTGTTAATATGGCGAACTCTCTCACATATTGAGTTGGCGAGACAAAGGTATGCATTTGATGATAAGCTTTTAGCTAAGGTGAAAGATAATGCTGTGCATATGATCAACACCTTTAATTACATACAAATAAGATAGAAAAGATCAAGGGCGGAAGAGGTAAAGTTCTCACTTTTCACTATTTGCATTGTTGAGCAATTCTGCAATTGACTTATTAAAGGGTGCTTTTGTTTTTATTTGCTTTAGTCTGGTTCTTGAAGAATGCGTCACTCTGTGGTTGTGTCAATTCTTTACAGCTTCACATAATGACTGCTGCCTGAGGTTTGTACACTTCCGTTTCTTATTGTATACATGTACTTAAACAATAGCTTGATATGCTAACTCAAGATTGTTCTTGTTGGAGCAAGGTAAGGCATAATTATTAAGGAGTAACTTACCATCATGAACACATCTCATTTTTCCAAAACATTTCTATGCTAATTGGATTCTGTACCAGTAGCTTTTTAGTGAAGTTTCATACCAACATTATTTCAGTTTATCATAACTTCATGGTTATGTGCATAGAGCAACATTTTATGTATGACTGGTGAAGGCTTGTCCACTTGGCACCATATGGAACTTTAAGCAATAGTTTTCATGTATTTTTCCTTCCCTTAATTGTTATTTTTGACATTGAAGTTTGCAGGTGGATCGAGAAATGTCATTGGACTATTAGAGGAGTATGTCACAGATAGCGAGCATCTCAAGAGTTTTAGACAATACTTGGACATCGGAAGCCAAAAATAGGATTATTGACTTGCTTCGACTTTGTGTTTTTAAGATTCTTTCAATGACGAAAAAGTATTATACGACAATGAAAATTATGGAGGAGATATCTAGTTATAACAACTGTACTGATTGTATACGTTTAGGACAAGTCATGTATCTATTTTTTATTTTTTTTTCTGAAGCTATTAACTTTGATGGGTAGACAGACAACGGGATAACACTAGAGGACAAGCAAAACCCGAGGAATGGTTCTCCTAGATATAAAAATAGGGGGAACTGTTTTCTAAAAACACTTTCCTATACTCACGTATAAAGAAATAGAATTCATTTATACATTTTCTCTTGCTTATATTCTCTCTCGTCTCTCCTCTACATGTGTATGTAAGAAACTTTTGTTATCTTATGCAACATAAGAAAATAATTTCCAATAAAAATATCACCAAGTTATAAATATCCCCCAAGCGATATTCAGAGTTACCATTGTCAAATCGAGAACCAATATGCACAATAATCATTACGTTCATCATATATAAAGAAAGCTATAACAACTTTTTGGGCAATTAGGTTAGGCATGTTGACTATCTGCATAGTTGCTATTCCGACTGATGCGTTTATCTGTTGAAATCAACAGTGCCACTATATCTAAACAATTTTACTACTCATATTACCTACACAAAAATTTCATTTCTACAAGTCAATCCAACCATAACAAATATAGCATGTGTCCTTGATTGATTTACCCAAGAATGACCAACAAATTTTCCAATTACTCTGAACGTGGTTTTGTTTGATTATCTAGTAATGGCAAGACCTGTGTACCTGAACGTGGTTTTGTTTGATTATCTAGTAATGGCAAGACCTGTGTACCACATAAACGTTACATTTGATCTTATGAGTGCCTGGATCAACCGTGAATTTGAAAAATAGAAGCTGAAACTGTTTCCAACTTCCAAATAGAAAGTATGAAATCAGACATTCCCAAGGTAAAAATGTTATGCACATACTACTTGGTGTCACAAGGAAACATATATAATCCATGAAACAGGAAAACGAAAACTAAATTATTATTTTTTTCTTTTTAAAGAAAAAAGGTTCCTATAAAGCAAGCTGCATATCATTTTCGAATTGTTTCAACAGTACAATGCCATTGACTGTATAGTATGACTGCAAGGACTGTATAGTACGACTGAAAACTGATAATTTACAAATTCAAAGTGTTCCAAAACTTTAATTCCGGACAATGCAGCAGAAACATATTACATATCTGTAGAATCCCAATGTGTCTGAGAGAGAAGTAAACTTATATATAGGCAATACTATAAGATCAAATGATATTTACTTGACCACTGGCTGCTTCCATCATTCCATTGCGTATCTGCTCACCAATATCCCTAACGTGGCCAGGTCCATGGGGTATAAAGACTGTGGTATTATTTGATGAGTTCCCAAGGTCTTTGATAGTGTCAAAGTACTGAGTGATCATGATAAGATCCATCACCTCCTTAGAGGAAGTGCCTTCTACCTTGTGAGAGAAATTCAAGATGTTCTCTCTCAAGCCATCTGTGATAGCTTGTCTCTGCCTGGCCACACCAATCCCACCCAAATACTTGGCTTCAGCTTCAGCTTCTGCTTTTTTAACTAGAAACACCTTTTCAGCTTCTCCTTTGTATTCACTAGCACGTAGCATCCTTTGAGCTGTAAGGTAAAATCAATCCTCAATAAGTAGGTTGCAAACAGGGACATGCAGACGGAATAAACATACACACACTGACACACACACACACAATCAAGATGCACACAGGATCCCACAGAACTACAATTAAGATAACCCCAATTCACCAGATATTTACAAATAAAAAACATGGGAAGAAAATTAAGTAGTAACCCAACAGAACACACAGAATTATCTTTCAGAACCCAATTCAACAGATATTTACAAAAAAAAAAATTTATGACCAAGTCATTACAGGCTAATATTTACAATTATCATTAAAATTTGTTGGCTGACTGCCCATAGTATAATTTCATCTAGGGCATGCGATGGAAGCCCATGGAATGAGAAGAGCATACGAAGAGACTGAGGTACATACATACATGTGTCACTGCATGATATGTCCATATGAGGGGAAACAAAATCTAAAACCATAAAGTATTATTACCTGCATTGATCTCATTCATTGCCTTACGCACAGAAGGATCAGGTATAATATCAACCATCAGTATGTGCTCTATGCTATATCCATATTCTCCCATCACCTGATACGCAAATTTCAGGAAAATGGAATATTGGTATGCAGATAAATAAAACGGCAAGAAATTCAGCATAAGGAACCGAATGAGTAAATCGAAATCTTACTGAGTTGTCATATTTCAAAACAGATGCTTTAGCATAAACTCATTTAGTTTTAAGAGGAACAAAACTAAATACATACTAAATTTGTGTATGACTTGAGGTTGATTTTGCATATTGAGGGACAATTTTTTGTGACACAAGTGGTCGAGTCATGGGACAATTCTTTGTGTTGTTAGCTGTTTGATGAATAGAATAAAGCAAAATATATTGCAATACCCTTTGTGCTATGCATTGTTTTACATGCAATAAAACTGGGATAAAGAAGGGTAGTAGTTATTGGTCTTTTTCCTTTTTGTGTTGTGGACAAGATTCTATAACTTATTTTAGTGGGTAACAAAAATTTAGAGATTCATGTAGTCATTTGAGTTGTTTTATGTCAGGTATGTATGCTATTTGAACAATCAAAACGAGATACAATTTTATTTTATTTTTTCCCTTCCAGCGAATCAAATGGACCCTTAAGGTTCTTTTCACTTACCAGCTCTTACATATTTCATTGAAGATGGCCAGAATTCATTTAACAAAAGCAGTAACTTACCTTCTCAAGTTCCTCCAACACAGCTTTGGCAACCTCACCCTTTTGCTCAAAGAGTTCATCCAAACTCATTCTTGGAACAATAGCACGGGTCACTGAAACACCAAAACAAACACAGTTAAAAAAAAAAAAAAAAAACCATAAAACATAGAAATGGTCAACGGAAAATTGATAACCGTGTAAAAAGCATACCATCAAAAACATAAGCCTGGATCTGTTCCTTAGGGTTTTGCAACTCATAAAAAGCATCATCAGCATTTTGTTTAACTACTCGGTATTGAATTGAGCAAAGCAACTGCACAAACACATTGTCCTGCACCACAATTTAAAAAATAAAATAAAAAAACACTCAATATTTCTCTCTCTTTTTCTCAATTCTTATCTCATAATTGATACTTCAAAATACACAATAATCAGAAAAAAAAAAAAGAGACAATAAAAGTTTTTTTAAAAAAAATCGTTTAATTATTTGTGAAAATTGAAACGACATAGAAAACCCTAAGACTGAATTGGAAAAAAGGTGAACCTTGGTTTTGGTCTCGATGCGGACGTCAAGAGAGGAGATCCTGGTGGAGAGGACGCCGGCGAGGCATTCTCCGACGAAAGGGTTGAAGAAATGAAGGCCAGGTTGGGCGAGGCGATGGAAGCGACCCCACTGTTCAACAACCCCAACGCTTGATTGTTCAACGCAACCGCAAAATAAGAAACTGCTGCTCCCGTTACCCATCTTCTCCGATACTCACAAACCCAAACAAAAACCGCACCTTCCTTTCAATAGTTTGTTTCTTTTCCTCCTCTTTTTTATAGCAAACTTTAGTTTGGTTAACTCATTTATGAGATAGGATATTCTGACACACAAATAATGTTACGCACAATGTTACGACCACATCTTAACTATTGATTTCCGTCAATCAACGGTTATCATTTTTCAAATCAAACTCATTAATTAATTATTAATTCGCAATAACTGATAACCGTTGATTGACAGAAATCAACGATTAAGATGTGGTCGTATCATTGTGCGTAATATTATTTGTGTGTCACAATATCCTATCCCCTCGTTTATTAGGTAAAATGAGTGACATCCTCTCGTATTCAGTAAAATATGATACGTTGGTATAAAAAAGTAAAAAAAAAAAGAGTAAAATATGATACGATGATATGGATAAATCATAATTATAAGGGTGGATTAATACTTATAAAGAAAAAAAAAATATTGAAAATAGATAGCTATAAAATTATCATTATTAATTTATTTAGGGTTTATTATTTATCATTTAAAAGCATGGTTCTTTTAGATAAATATAGTGTGTTTTTTCAAATTTTAAACTACAAAATTTTCCCTCCTCTCTCTCTTCCTCAAGTTTATTTCTTTATCTCTCTTAAAAGGATATAAGTGTGTATCCTTAAAAAGGATAGACACTTTTCCCATTCATTTATGTATGATTGTGAATTTGTAATTTTCTGAGTGATCATATCTTTTTTATTTAATATAAAAAAAGATCGTTTCCTCGTATTTGCAAAATAATACGAGTTCATATGTTATACTATCTTATGATCCAAGGGAAGTAGGTAATGTTTGGATATGATATATCGATAAAAATATTATTTATAACATAATTTTATATAATTCTTTTAAAAATTAATAATTAATTTTATATATTAGACATAAAAAAATGTAAAAGAAAAGAAAGAAAAACTATATATTAAAATAATAACTACACCTAAGATTGTAAATAAATCAGACGACTTATTCGTGGCCTAGAGTCTAATATGCCTATGACTAGGCTCATTTTAATTATGGAAAACGTGTTTGTCATTTTAAATTACATAACTTATATCATTTCACTCTCATAAAGAGATGGGACCCACATCAGTATTTTTTTCTGTCCACTCTCTCTCTCTTCCTTTATCTATCTTTTTCTCTCACTTAAAATGACACAACTTTACATCCTTTAAAATGATACACATTTTTTCCCTTTAATTATAGTACATAATTGAACTCATTTAAAGATATCTTTAAAAATCAAGTTACCTCTAAGTTTTTAGGCTCCGTTTGTATTTTTTAATAAATAGTATATTATGTATGCAAAAAAAAATAGTATTTTATTATTTATTTATAAATAATATATAATTATTTATTAGTAAAATAATATCTTATAATTTTCAACAATATAATTAAATTGTCAATATTTTGGATTGCAATGTGGCTTCAATTATTGTATTGTATTGATTTTCCGTTAACTTAAACATAAAAAAAAAAAAAAAAATCATAATCTATAATTTTCAAAGTACATAATGCTTTTTTTTAAGACTTAGTAGGTTTGATACTACAAGTCAGACTTTATATTTTTTGAGAATAAATCAGATCAATCCTATAATTTGGTTTATACGAGACTAACAAGTCAAGTTAGGCTTGAAATATTTTAAGAGTAATACTTTTCTAATGTTACATTAGAAAACTATTATTCCGAGGAATCATTACCATCGGGTAAGAGACAAGTTGGCGTTGTTAATAATGCAGCGTTACGTAATAAGGCAGTTTCCAATTCTGATCCTAATCACAGACAGGTCATTCAATCAGGTTCAAGATTTTAAGCTATTGCTGAGTTGGCTCAAAAGGATAATAATATCTTAATTATTTCCGATTCTCCAGTGATAGATTCAATCAGCATTGAATCTGGTCTGACACGAATTAATCATGGAAAATTAATTGCTCATAATGAAGAACCGTTGGTGAAAAAGGATATTCAAATGGAAACAGTTTCTCCATCTGCTAACCTATCCGCGGGCAAGTCGAGAAAAGAGGTCCAAAGTCAAGGAGTAAAATTCAAAGAGAACCAAAAGAAGAAAGCAACTGCATCATCTGCTAAAGTTCATCAGCTGGTCCAGAATGCTAATATTAGCAAAGGCAGATTAAATGCTTCAAAAGGTACAGAATCTCAAAAGAATAATTTTAAACTTGATTCTCAGAAGAATATGTCAGAGGATTTCCAAGATAGACAAATTGTCTTGCACCCTTCTTTATCTAAATTCCAGAGGAAGACGTCTCATGTGGTTAATGATCAGCAAGAGACTCTTCCTTCTTCTAGTGGCTTGGATAATGGAGGTAAAAATGGAAGACAACCAGATGCTCTTACGTTAGTGAGGAATTTTTATCAAACTCACAAGGATTCTATCCCTTTGGATAATTTGGACGTTTTGGGTGCGACTTCGGTCTATACCAATGCTCTTTCTTAGGGCCGGTTTCTGTTCTGATAAATTTAAGATTATTTTTATGAATATTTTGACCTGGAATTGTAGAGGGGCTGGGAAAAGGAGTTTTCCGCCTCTGATTCAGGATCTTTCTCATAGATACAGTATTAAAGTTATGGCTTTGTTAGAAACCAGATTGAGTGGTGTTATGGCGGATAGAGCTATTCAGCGTCTTGGTTTTTCTGGTCACTTTCATCGTGATGCTGTTGGTTTTTCTGGCAGTATTTGGGTGCTTTGGAACACTGATGAAGTTTCAGTGGATGTTCTTTTTTCTCATCACCAACTTGTTCATACTAAAATTTGTTGGGTAAAAGAAAATAGAGAGGAGTTTATGACTTTTATTTATGCAAGTTCGCGAAGACAGGAACGTATTCAACTGTGGGAAATTATGTCTTCACTGTTAGATCAGTCCATGAGGAATGCGACTTGGGGGATAGTAGGTTATTTTAACACGTATTTGTATGGGTATGAGAAGCTAGGTGGTAATGGGCATAACTGGAATAGCATGAGGGAATTTCGTGATTGTTTAGATGAATGTAGCTTGTCTGACATTGGCAATCAAGGTTCTATTTTCACTTGGCAAAGAAGAAATCTTCAGGAACGTCTTGATAGGGTTTGCGCTAATGATAATTGGAACTTGGTTTTCCCTAACCGTGTGGCTTTCAACTTGCCTTTCTTTGGCTCAGATCATCGACTAGTGTTATTATGGGAAGGTAAGCCTGCTATTTATCCGAGAGGGGAGCGTCCTTTCCATTTTCTAGCGTCCTGATTAACAGAGAGCACTTTTCATGAGGTGGATAATGGATGTTGGTCAAACAATGTAAACTGCATGCATGCTATAGAGACATTTCAGATTAATGCTTCGGGATGGCATAGAAATGTTTATAGGATTGCTCTGAAAAGAAAGAATGATTTGCATGCAAGGATTAAAGGTATTGATGGATGTCTTAGTTATCAGTACAGTCATAGCCTTGAGATGTTGCAAAAGGATCTATGGAGGGAACTAGACAAGATTTATCTTCAAGAGGAAATCACATGGTTTCAAAGATCGAAATTGAATTGGTTCGCTCTTGGAGATAGGAACTCGCGTTTCTTTCATTCTGTGACGGTTGCCAGACGTAAGAAGAATCACATAGATACGTTGAAAAACTCGGAGGGAGTTTGGATTGGTGATCAGCAGGTTTTAATGGAAATGGTTGTTTCCTTCTTTGAAAATCTGTACACAAAAGATCCATTACCTAAACTGGCTTTTCCAGTTCGTGGCTTTTTTCCAGTTATTGAAGCGCATGCTTTAGACACGATGAGTATTATGCCAAACAGTAAGGAGATCGGAGATGTAGTCTTCTCTTTTGGTCCATACAAGTCGCCTGGGAAGGATGGGCTTAATGCTCTTTTCTTTCAATCTCAGTGGGATAAGGTGGGTGAGTCAGTTATTTCTTTTGTGAAAGGTGTGTTCCTTCATCCGAATAATATCAAAGAGGTTAACCAAACTTTGATTTGTCTGATTCCTAAGATTGATGTGCCTGAATTACTTAAAGATTTCAGACCTATTAGCCTTTGTAATGTTATTTACAAGACTGTAACTAAGATTGTGGCTAATAGGCTGAAATCTCATATGGCTCACTTGGTTATGCCTAATCAATGGGGTTTTATTAAGGGTAGACAAGGAGCGGATAATATCATTGTGGCTCAGGAAATCATCCATTCCATGAATAAAAAGAGAGGAGGTAAGGGTTGGATGACTGTCAAAGTTGATTTAGAAAAGGCTTACGACAAGATTTCTTAGGAGTTTTTGAAAGACACGCTTGTGAATGTTGGTTTGCATGAGAATATCATTTCTCTGATCATGTGTTGTGTCTCGTCATGTACAATGAATTTGTTATGGAATGGATCAACTACGACAGAATTTTCTCCTAATCAAGGTCTTCGTCGGGGAGATCCTTTGTCTCCTTATCTTTTCATCCTTTGCATAGAAAGACTTGCTCATTTGATTAATGTAGTAGTTCAGGAGGACGTTTGGAAGCATATCAGATTGAATAGAATGAGACCACTGCTTTCCCATCTATTTTTTGCAAATGATCTTCTGCTCTTTACAGAAGCCACAGAAGGGCAAGTTGTTATTATTAATAAGATTCTTGATTGTTTTTGCAGGTGCTCTGGTGAGAGGGTTAGCAAGGAAAAAACAAAAGTCTTCTTCTCCAGAAACGTTAATCATACCCGAGTGCAGAATTTAAGGCAGTTGATGGGCTTCTCTCCTACAAATGACTTGGCTAAATACTTGGGTATTCCTCTTCGTCATAGCCCTGCTATGAAGAGTACGTTTGGCTATATCTTAAATCGGATGCAAGCTCGTTTAAATGCCTGGAATCAACGTACTCTTTCATTGGCAGGAAGATCAACTTTGGCTAAGTCAGTTCTTACTGCAATTTCTCAATATCATATGCAAACTTATATTATTCCTAGTGGTACGTGTGATCGTATTGAGAGTGTAACTAGGAATTTCATTTGGGGATCAACTTCTG